GCCTTTTAACTTTCTACTGTTTAAAGAGCCTTACACCTAAACAGAATTGAGAGGCTTTTAGTTTCTCCCTATGATACAGATCTCTGTGTAATCAGATCTGGTTTCGTCTGACTTTGGAGTCTGCACTTTGCAACACAGCGTGTGCTCATAGAACTGAAGTCTATGTGTTTGACCTTTTTTCTTAATTTGTTTATAAAGTTATCTGAACAATGAAATTATTTCCCTTTAATTGCTGAGGTCTTTCATGTTCTGATAACAGCTCTGGCAAATCAAAACAAAGGAACTGTGGAAGCCTGGATTTGTATCCAGTTAACTGAGCTAATGTCTGGGACTGGGGCATCCAGGGAAGTGTTTATGGCAAGTTCCAGTTGCATTCAATTCTTTGCTTACTGCGACCTGTTCTCCATCATGCTTAACTTAAATACGATAAAGATGAAGTCTGTAGGTCTGTGGAAAGTGTATGTTTTCATAGTTTTCTTGTATACTAATCTTCAGAATCAGTTGAGATGATAATATTATTATATGAAATGATATTTTCATCTGGATGTGCACAGTGTTTTGTGAGTGTTCCTCACAGGGACATTTTTGAAAGAAAATGCAAGAATTTTGACAGCCTGTCATGGCTAGCCCATCTACTTTATATTCTGTCAGTATGATTTTCTGAATTTCCTGCTCATGACACATTTGTAGAAAGAAAAAAAAAAAAAAAACACTAACCACTAAACTTGTAGCATATTCACACCCTCTAGTTTCATGTCTTTATTTCTGAACATAGGATTTGAATTCTAAGAAAAGGGGAAAACAAATGTTCGTAGTACCCTTTTGGAATTTGTGAGCAGAGCCAAATGGTGAGCCATTTCCATGGACACGCTGTGGCTTGATCCTCATGCCGGAAAGGTCTGGGGGAAAAGTTGTGTTCACTCCATACATGAACAGTCACAGATTGGGGGTATTTTATGGAAGAGCTTAAAGGTGGGATCATGAATTTAACACATTTGACAACATTTCTCCCATAAGATATCATAGTTTTCTATGTATTCTGTTGACATTCTTTTCCTGTTATATTCTTGTTTGTCTAGATTTCAGAGCTTAGTGTAATCATTGCATGATTTTTTCATGAATGTTTGGAATTCCATGTAAAAAAAATGCACTTTAAGTGCTTTCATAAGTATGCTGGTGTGTGCTCTGAATTACTTCCTTAGGTTTTGAGGACAGAGGACCTGAACATTTTCTATAATGTATTTATCTTCTCTCTCTCACTGATACATACACACATACACACACAAATTTCTATCTGCAAGACACTGACTTAGATCTTTAGGCTACATCAATAAATATATGTTGAGTTTGCACTTTATTTTTTTTTCCATTTATTTTTATTAGTTGGAAGCTAATTACTCTACAATATTGTAGTGGTTTTGTCATACATTGACATAAATCAGCCATGGATTTACATGTATTCCCCATCCTGAATCCCCGTCTCACCTCCCTCTCTACCCGATCCCTCGAAACATGTGTATTATCTAGAGTGAAACAGATCACCAGCCCAGGTTGGATGCATGAGACAAGTGGTCGGGCCTGATGCATTGAGTTTGCACTTAGAATTAATTCTATCAAATTGTACATCAAGAAGTTGCTAGATGACTGCATGTCTTTTCATTTCTTAAAATTAAAATTAATGTTTTATGGTAAATACCATGTAGTAGCATCTTCAAGTGCCTTAAGAGTGGGCTAATAGTAAATAATAGAGCTTTATGAAGATTGTATGTGTGTGTGAAGTTTCTGTACTTATTTTTGTTGTCTTCTAAAAATAGATTACATGACAAGTCAAAGATTCTAGGTGATATTTTGGTGGTGTCTGTTTTGGTTAATTTGCAACCTAACATCAGTTATATGAATAGCTTGTTTGATTATTCCCTCTTACATCCAGATGCAAAATTAGAAAGCAAAGGATGGCTTTCATTGTTCATGTATATACTTGATTGTTAATCTTCTAAAATTTCTGAAGTCAGTGCATGTTTTATGGTTTATGTTGCCCTGAGAATTATTTTAAAACTTATTTTTAGTGGATTTATTAAAATTGAAACCCAGTTAATAATCAGTGTCTTTGAAAACTGATTTGTTTGGAGATAGTTTCCAAGTCACTGTATGGTAATCTCTTTTTCTTTTTTTTTTTAACACTGTGATATACCAATAGATGATACAGGGAAACTATGACTCACATTTCAAGATTTTTCTGATAAGCTATACAAAGAATATTTTGCTAATGCTCCTTAAACTAATACTTTTGAAAACTACCTTCTCTTCTCTTCTTCAGTTATTTACAAATAACTATCTACATAAAGAGGTTTCTCTGGTGGCTCAGTGGTAAAGAACCCATCTAACAATGCGGGAGACACAAGTTTAATCCCTAGGTCGGGAATATCCCAGGGAGTAGGAAATGGCAACCCATTCCAGTATTCTTTTGCCTGGAAACTTCCATGGACAGAGGAGCCTGGAAGGCTACAGTCCATGGGGTTGCAAAGAATCAGGCACCACTGAGGGACTGATCAGTCAAGCATGTCTACATAAAGATCATTATCTCTTTGTGCATAAGTTATTATGCATTACAATTCAAATTCCATCATAAAAGTTCTAATTAAATACCAGCACCATTGTTACTTCAACATCCAAATGTCTTTTCACTTTTTGATCAATCCTAACATTTCCCCAAATGGATACTGGGGGATCCTAGTTCTGTAGGATATTGATAATGTTATGAGAAAAAAATTGATTTGTGCTGATGTAAGTTGGACTTTTTTTTTCCCTACTACAAAACTATTCAGAGCCTTAAAAATATGTTAATGTGCACAGTGCTTTTCTAAGAGAGATATCCTGGTTATCACTTTGCCACAAGAATTTCATGCCTTGGGAACAACTGACTTTATTATTGTATAGATTAGAAAACAGAGTCCCCTAAAAATTAAACAGTTTGCTTAAAATTAGACCTCCAGACTAACACTTGAAAGGCAAGGCCATTCTAAGATATGTATTGGTAGGTTCTTTCAGCTCCAGGCTCTCTCTTTATCAGCTCTTGGGATAAATGTGACTCTTGCCTTGATTTCCAGGCTTGTACTTCTTATTTGTTTTGAATGACAGAGTGTGTATCTCTGAAAACCTACCTTATGAAGACCCAAATTCCCACCCAGACAGAATGTATTGATTTATTTACAGTTTTTTTTTTTTATTCCTTGAAGTCTTTAAAGAAAAATAAAAACACAAACAAAACATGATTACTGGGGAATCTCAGAGAGTGAGCATTTGAAAGAGACACTTTGTTCTCTTGGAAAATTGATCTCTGCTAAAAATTAAGTAAATACTCTTTGTGTCTTAGCTCAGTTGGTAAAGAATTCACCAGCAATACAGGAGACCCTAGTTTGATTCCTGGTGTGATCCTGGAGAAGGGATAGGCTACCCACTCCAGTATTCTTGGGCTTCCCTTGTGGCTCAGCTGGTAAAGAATCTGCCTGCAATGCGGGAGCCTTGGGTTCGATTCCTGGGTTGGAAAGATCCCCTGGAGAAGGGAAAGGCTACCCACTCCTGTATTCTGGCCTGGAGAATTACAAGGACTGTATTCCATGGAATTCCAGAGGGTTGCAAAGAGTCGGACACGACTGAGCGACTTTCACTTTGTGTTTGTGGCTCTTGCCGTCTCATTTATTTGGAGTTCATTCTCTTAGTAAATAGTTTTACATACCAGGCCTGGAGTATACCTGGATAAGTAGATTGGGAATAGGCCCTGCCTTCCTAGAACTCATAGTGCATATAGAAAAGACAAATAATAATTGTAGTTCATCATAAATAAATAAGCAAATCAAATAAATAAATTGTGCTAAGTGCTAAAGTTTAAGGTTCAGAGAACTATGCCTTGTACAGTAAGAAGGGGTATTTTCTAGCCAGAAAGTACGAGGAAGGCTTCCTGAGGAAGTGGCTTTAGCTACGCCCTGTAGGATGAATAGGTAGTTGATAGATGAAGCAGGTAGAGGCTGAGCCCAGGACAGAGGTGTTAGGGCTGGAGGAGCTCGTCATTAGGAAGCGTAACAACACCAGTGTGGTTTGTGGTGGTGAGTAGGTTGTGAGTGGGTAGCACTTGAACTACCATGGGTGATCTTCTGATATCTGAATGCATACAGTTGCATCCTTTCGTTGACACGTGTGTACCACTTGCCAGCAAGAACCGTTGTTGCTGGTTTGTCACCTATTTGGTGAGCTTCGGTATTCATCCTGTCCTACCATTCAAGTATATGAAGAAATAATGCTCCATCATCAAAAAGTCTGGGGAAATTCTGCATAAATTCTGCCTAGAGGTAATCATGCTTGTAACCAGAATAATCTTTTCCCAAAGACAAAAGATAGGGACTGTTCATGAGGCTTCCCAGGTGGCGCTAGTGGCAGAGAACCTGCCGGCCAAGGCGAGAGAGGAGAGTGACATGGGTTCGATCCCTGGAGTGGGAAATGGCAACCCACTCCAGTAGTCTTGCCTGGAGAACCCCATAGACAGAGGAGCCTGGTGGGCCACAGTCCATTGGGTCGAAAAGAGTTAAAACACAACTGAAGTGACTTAGCAGACACAGCACAGGACCATTCGCACAACTCCAAATTGTGATTTTTTTTTTCCTGTTTTTCTTTAAGCTATAATTTTAAACATTTTGGGAGGGTTTTATACTTACCCTTGCCTGTCTTAACATAATATATATGAGGTATAATGTGAGGAAATTTAATACAAGTAGATCATATTTAGTATATTATGTAAATATAATAAAATGGAATATAATGTAATTAGTATATAAGTAGTAAGATGATTTATACTATGTAAAGAATGTAAAGGAATATATTAGCAGTCGGGTTTACCATTATGATGCTTCCTATTGTTTTTTCTGGTGTTCCCTTAAAAAGTGCATGTTTGGGATTTGACTGTCCGCTTTGCTGACCGCCTTGCTTTTGTTTTCGGCCTCCTCCAGTCTAGTGGGATTGCAGCCCTCATCGCTATCTTGGTGTTGCTGCTGCTCTTGGCTGTTGGACTGATGTGGTGGTTTTGGCCCCTTTGCTGCAAAGTGGTAAGTAAGAAGGATTTGCCGTCTTCCTTCCTTTGTAAGCATCAAGGTGTAAAGTACGGCTGAAATATGAATCAGCGCCATATTGCTCAACAACGGCAAAGTTTCTATTAGCAAATTGAATTTTAATAGTCATATATTTTAATCACTGTAAGAAATTCTATTCATGCCTGCTAATAAATGTTTGCTGTAAAACTTCATCTAGGAAGCACTTGAAAATCAGGTTTAGGGGAAGAAGAGAAGAAGAAGGTAGGAATGATGATAGGGATAAAGGGCTTCCCACTCAATACAAAAGAATTTCAAGTAAATTGAATGGTATTTTCTACTGGATTCATTGAGAGGGGTTGATCATCTGTCAGGTTTTTGGGTTTGTTTTGTTTTGTTTTCATTGCTTATTGAATGTTTCATTATCTCTTTGAAAGATACACTATTTCAGGACTTTTTCTGTTTGCCTCTTGGAAAAACATTTTAGAAATAAGTCACATGAAAATGTTAGGGTATCTGTGAAACAGTCACTTTGAAGTTATGACAGTTGGTTTGAGGTTGTGTCATTTTTCATGCTTGAGTAAAACCTCTGAAAGAACATGAATATACACAAGCTTTCTAGTGCTACTGTAGCAAATTGCCACACATTTGCTGGCTTAAAGCAACACAAATTTATTACCTAACAGTTATGTAATCATAGATCCAACATGGGTCTTGCTGGGCTAAACTAAGCTGAAAAGTATCGACAGGATACATTCCTGTCTTAATGCTCTAGAGGAGGATCTGCTCCCTTGTGTTTTGCAGCTTGCAGGGGCTCCTTCCATTCTTGTCTAGTAAGCCCCTTCCTCCAGCTTCAGAGCCAGGCATGCTGCATCTCTGTCACCATTCTTCTGTAGTCATGTCTTTCTGACTCCAAATCCAGCTGGGAAAGGACCTCCAATATCAAGGAACCATGTGATTAGGTTGGACCCACCTTGATGCACACATGCATGCATGCATGCATCATCTCCCATCTCAAGATCCTTCACGCTAATCACATCTGCAAAGTCTCTTTGGTCCTGAAAAACAGCTTATTCACAGTTCCAGGGAATTAGAGTGTGGATATCCTTGTATGTGTGTGTGTGCTCAGTTGCTCAGTTGTGTCTGACTCTTTGTGACCCTATGGACTGTAGCCTTCCAGGCACCTCTGTTTATGGGGTTCTCCAGGCAAACATACTGGAGTGGGTTGCCATTTCCTTCACCAATGGATCATCCTGTCCCAGGGATCAAACCTGCATCTCTTGCATCTCCTGCTTTGGCAGGTGGACATCTTTATGGGGCCGTTATTCTGCCTGTCACAAGGTGGAACTCAGTAACAAACATCAGCACATTTCAAGCAAAATAACTTGGATTGTTCAGGCTTCATAGAAAAGGTTCTTCTGAAGAAGTGCTCCTTCAAAGCATGCCTACTGCCTATTTTGATATCCTCTTCTTATCAGCACATTATATTGAACTTTATGTTTTGTGGATCTCAGTAGTGTTTTACGTAATGTTACTAGACCGACTCTTCCCCTGTCACCCTTGCTGACTGATTTCCTCTCCTTGCAACTTCAGGCAGTGCTTTGTAGTACTTTTACATTTATTATTCATCGTACTTCAGTCCACTTTCATGAGGCAACTTTACAATCCTTTATCTCAGAGCAGTTGGCCACGGAGGAGGCACAGAGTTAATTTAGACAGCAGCAGAGACAAGAAGCATCCTGTCTCTTTGCTGAACTAATCAGTTTCCTGCCATAGCAATTTACGCTCAGTTTCCTGTTGTAATCTTCATTATCTTAGATATGGTGATTTTTAGACAAGCTAACTTTCTTGCATCTCAAATTAAAAAGCAAAAAGGTGCCTTAATGTGATTTGTACTCCTTACTTTTTTAATTTAAAATTCACAGGGGTGGTTTTCATTCTTTTGTTACTTTGCATTTTCATTTACTATTGACCAGAGGGCTCAAAAGTGTCGAAGTATATGTTTTTTTTAAAAGGACACTTGTGAACACTGAACTGGGCTTCTTTGTGAGGTTGCTGCATGCCCGCTCAGTTGCTTAGTTGTGTCTGACTCTTGTGCAATCCCTTGGACTGTAGCCCACCAGGCTCCTCTCTCCATGGAATTTCCCAGGCAAGCACACTGGAGTGGGTTGCCATTTCCCTCTCCAGGGGATTTTCCTAACCCAGGGATCAAACTCAAGTCTCTTGCTTGGCAGGCAGTTTTTTCCACAACACTTGATGTATCAAATGAAGTCTTCACTGTCACATGCGATGTTATAGAGGGGATTCGATCATCAGGTAGTGAGAATACATCCATTCCATCCCTGAAACTCTGCAGATTGGGAATCAGGAATATATTTCTTAATGCAGGGTGCAGATTTTATGCAGGACACCACTAAGGTGTGTTTTTAGGATGTCAGGAGGGCTTCCTATACACAGAAACATCATGAATGCTTACTAATTTCTGCAACTTATTTAATAGAGAGAATCATCCTTATTTTACATTTAGAAATAGAGACTACAGAGCAGTTAGCCTTGAGTATGAACTTGCATTTAGATCTAAAAATAAATGAATTGGGCTTTCCAGGTGGTGCTAGTAGTAAAGAACCCGTGTGCCAATGCAGGAGATATAAGAGATGCTGGTTCGATCCCTGGGTCAGGAAGAAAATGCAGGAAATGGAAACCCACTCCAGTACTCTTGCCTGGAAAATCCTATGGACAGAGGAGCCTGGTGGACTACAGTTCATGGGGCCACAAAGAATCAGACATTACCGAGTGACTGAGCACATAAATGAAGCAGAACAAACGTTCCCTAAAAACAATGATTTAAAAGCAGAGAGAAAGTAGAGGCAAAATTCTGCATTCAGCCCTTAGTAATCTGAGCTAGTGCTGGGCTTGGAATTAGGGGTTCAGAAATGACTACCATATGATATGGAAACTCATATTTTAATAGTGAGAATGGAGGTTCGTGATTACGCCCAGGAGCAGCACATGTCAGGAACACAAAGGAAAGAGGGATTTGCCAGAATTGAGGGATTGTTTCAGGGAAACTGGGTGGAGCTGCCGATTCCAAACTGATTTTGAATATTGAACAAGACTTTGGCAGTTGATGAGGGACATTTCCTATGAAGTGTGTGTGGAATTACAAGTTATTCAGACGTGCTTTGAGATGTCCCAGGCTGAGGTCTAGCCTGCCAGGGAAAGGAGTGGTGGAAGATGGTTTAGGATCTAGGCATGAACCTCCTATGTCTTTGAGGAAGTTTGAACTCACCCTAGGGATGAAGAGAAACCACTGGAAAGATTTGATCACTGATCCCCTGAAAGAAGCTTCCCTTGCTGTACATGCTGCTGAGATCTGGTCCCGGTGGGGATTAAGTCTTTGAGTTCCATCAGCTATGGAAATACAAGCCAGTATAGATGGTGCGCCTTAGATATGGCGGTGGGCAGGGGAGGGGCAACATAGGGATGGGGAAAGTGGGGAGTACAAACTATTAGGTATAAATTAGGCTACAAGGATGTATTACACAGCACAAGGAATATGGCCATTATTTTGTAATTGTAAATGGAGTGTAACCTTTAACATTTGTATTTAAAAAAAGATACAGCCTGAGCAAAGTATCTCTAACAAAGTATAGAGAGTCAGAATATAACAAGTAAGCTAAATCAATTAGAGAAAGATGAGGAGGTGATGTGAAAAGGAAGGGTCAAAGGAGACCATAACCTTATGAAAAACAGGATCTTGAGTATAACAGAAGGTGTACTATGATAGTACAACTGCAGGATATTTATTTATTTGATTATGTTTAGAGAATATACTTCCAAAATGCTGGCATTTGAATATGATTAGTTAATTGTTAGCAACGTTCAATTATTAGGGATCATTTTGGACTTTGACTATCAGCTGTTACCAGTAATAATACTTTTTAATAGGAAATGAAATGTATTTATTTTAGCTTAGTGTTAATCACTCAGTTGTGCCCATCTCTTTACAACCCCATGGACTGTAGCCTCTGTCCATGGAATTCTCCAAGGAAGATTACTAGAGTGGGTTGCAATTCCCTTCTCCAGAGGATCTTCCCAACCCAGGGATCGAACCTAGGTTTCCCACATTGCTGGTTTATTCTTTACTGTCTGAGCCACCAGATAAGTCCTTATTTCAGCTTGGTATTGTGTACATTTCTTTTGTTTGAGTGTCTTTTAAGTACTGGGGCAAACATTTAGTCTTTCAACTGAAATATGATTAAACAGCTTAAAATGTCTCTTTTCAGGCACATTTAGACTATGTCAGCCATCACCTCCTTGGGAATCATATGCTTAGGAGCTCTTATCGAGATAGAAATCCTGGAAAGGAAAAAAAAACCCTGAACAGAGGCACCCATATCTGTCACACATTCTTCATTGAATCATTTCATATTTTTAAAAAATATCTTGTGAAATAATTTAACCATTCATTTTTCAGAGATTAAAATTTCACAGATATCTAATTAATGACTCAGAGATGACAGTGTTACCTATATCTTAGCCCGGATTTTTTTTTTTTTTTTCTGCTCCTAGTAATTGAAAGGCTCTCAGAGTAGGTGCTGTCAGATTTCCATCTGTGGTGTCTCTCTCTGAGGGGAAAGGCTGGTTGGGTGATACATCTCCAGGGATCAGTATGGTTTAGGATAGCCCCTATGGTAAGGTCAGTAATGATCCCTAAAGACATCCAGGTCTTAATTCCTGGAAACCGTGATTGTTGTCTTTTATGGCAAAAGAGGGCTTCCCTGGTGGCTCGGAGGTTAAAGTGTCAGTGAGACTTTGCAGATATGATTAAATTCAGGATCTTGAAATAGGGAGATCATCCAGAATGACCTAGCTGGCTCTAAATACCATCACTGTGCCCATATGAGAGGGTGACAGAGGAGCTAAGACCACAGATGGGGAGAAGGCAGTATGACCGTGGAGGCAGAGACCAACGCAATGCAGCTTCTAGGCAGGAGCTGGAAGGGGCAAGGAGCGAT